GGGGGAAAAAAAATCTGTAGCCTAATATGAGTATGACTTTAATGTCCTCTCTTCATCTTCTTCCCTAGCCGCCTCTTCATAAGCTTTTAAGACCCTAGTCAATCCTCACCAAAGTAGGATGTAGAATATTTTCTTTGTGGACTTTGTTGTGCCAATTGACTTTGATGTGCCCAGGACATTAGTGACTGATTCTTTTAAGGTGTTTGGCTATAGCTAAGAAGTTTTCGTAACATTTTGTTTTTTTATTGTCATCTGTAATGGAGATTGTTTGTAAGTCTCTCTTGTTGGCTTCATTTGTCCCAGAGGCTATGATATAGATCTTCTCTAGTCAAGAGATTCCTGCCTTTATTAGATCATTACTTCTACTTTCTGACATTACCATTTGTTTCTGCTTTCTTTGATCAGTTTTCTAGATGGATCTTTTTCTAGTCATTTACTTTCAACTTTTAAGGATCTTCATGCTTAGGTGTGTCTCTTGTAAATAACATAGGAAATACAAGTTTTTTAGTTGGAAAAAATTTTGTTTTAGTCCTTGGACGTAAGTTAGGAAGTCTTTCCCCCAGTGAACATTTGCTTTTGTTTTTACTGGTAGCATACAGGTTTACTTATTTAAGTTTATTTTCCCCCCTTAAAGGTCCTGAATGACTTTCAGGGAATAGCAGGCTCAGCTTCTGCACCTTACTGATGGTCACAGGTTCAGAGTCCCCACTGGAGTATGTTCTTGCCATCTGCCTTCAAAGCCCAGCCTGCCTTTCTTGGCTGCTCACAGCTCTAGCCCAGACACTTAACCCTTAGCCACAGGATGTATTAGGTGGGGTGAGTGTGAGAAGCTGTTAACAGATATTTGCAACCTCTTATGTGGTCAGGGATGCTTCGTGGAATGTTTCTTCTGCAGCATATTGTTCCGTACTGGCAGAGTCCCTCAGAGATCTATCTCATCAGCCACAAAGTCAGATAGAGAAGTGTCTTGTTTCCTCTGGGCTTTACTTTATGCTCAGCTCTTATCAGTGACGTTGTAATGTATAATTACTTATTTATCATCTTTTTCTTGCTGCCAGAATATAGGCTTCAAGAGAGCTAGGATTTTTCCTGGTTTGCTATCATCTAAACCAGTGCCTGATACTTAGTATGTGCTCAATAAATGTTTGTTGAATGAACAACTATAGACAGTGGAAGGAACATTGTAAAATAACAATGCTGTTTTACAATTTTACCTTGAAATTCTTTTATGTCTTCCTCTATCCTGACGTGGTGTTGTGGGTTAATGCACTGGACTGCAAGGTAGGTTTGAACCACATGGTTAGTGGTTCAAGCTCACCAGCTGCTCCTTGGAAACCCTATACAGGGTCACTATGAGTTGGAACTGACTCGGGCACTTAACAACAACAGTGACCACTGGCACATCTTTAGACCCCTTTACTTTTCCTTATACTATGGGAGCCCTTTCCCAACTGATATCTCTGTGTGTGTGTGTGCTTTATGGTACTTCTATCCTCCAGACTATTATTCACATTGCTGCCAGTTTCTTCCTAAATACAGACCTGATTACATCATTGCCCTGTTTTGACTTTGTCTCTATGATAAATACCAGCCTCCTTAATGTGGCATTTTATTCCAAACATCATTCTCCAGTCCAAATTCTACACTGAGCATATTGTCTTCTGGTCACTTCAAAATATCCCAATATGCCATGTTTGTAGATTTATATTTATTATGTCATAACCTATAAGGCTGCCTAAAAAGTTTTTCTTTCAGATTCTTAGCTGTCCTTTAAGTCATCCAGAGTCCTTACCTTCATAAACACTATGCTGATATTCACAGAAAAGAATCATTTATGCCCGGCATTTTATTTTGCTATTTTGGTAGTTTTCATAATTTGACTTACATTCTGTCTATCTTTTCTTATTAGATTTCAAGGCTCTGGATGTCAAGATCTTTGTTTTATTTTTCCTTGTTTCCTGCAATGTTTTATACATAATGTTCTTGTTGTTAAGTGCTGATGAGTCAGTTCTAAATCAGAGTGACCCTGTATAGAGTTCCTGAGGCTGTAAATCTCTGCCGGATCAAAAAGTCTCATTTTTCTCCTGCAGAGCAGCTGGTGGGCATAAACTGCTGACCTGTGGTATGCAGTCCAGTGCTTATCCTACTGATCCACTGCACTCCCCTATTGTACATAATGAGTCTTTGATAAATAGTTGGATCATTTGCTTTTTGAAGGTCCAGTTTTTGTCTTTCTATTACAGTGAGCGAATCTTGTCCTTAGTTATCACACTCGAACAACAATAATGCCCATTCCTGTGGGGCACTTCCTACCCCCACTTTACTGGTTAGTAAGCCTTGGGCTCCTCACATTCTCAAACTCAATATGTTTTCTCCCTCTCTGAGTTGTCCCTCAGCCCAAACCAGTGCTTCTACAACTTTTCTGTTTTCATGAAAGGCATCATCATTCTGTGAGTCACATTAGCTCAGAGGCTCAGTAAAATCTTTATATTCCTTTTTTTGTAATCTTCCCCTTTCAGCCATCCACAAAGTCATATTAATTTGTCCTTTAAAATGTTTCTCAGCTCCATACCTCTCTCTTCATTTCAAGTGGCAAGACATTGGACAAAGCCACTATGCCCTCACCCCCAGTTCTGTTATCCCCACCATCACACCTGGTGGTGCAGTAGCTGCTGACCAAAATGGTCAGCAGGTCGAACCCATTCTGCAGCTCCGAGGGAATAAGAATTGGTGGGAGAAAGACCCAGGAATCTGGCCCCATAAAGATTACAGCCTAGGAACCTCTGTGGGACAGTTCTGTTCTGCCCTGTAGGGCACACGACAACAGTGTAACAGAAAGGCCATCTGGAGTCCAGGCTTCTTCTAGTTCCTCCCCACCACCTAGCATGAAGCATGAGCCCTCTTCTTCCAGTCAGCTCAGACTTTTTCCTGTAGCCTAAGCATAGCACCTCCACAGAGCCCTCCTTCCTTCTCTGCTGTGCTGGTTCATCTTCAGTTTTTAGGACCTGACTGATGGACAAACTCTAGCCTTCTAACCCTGTGGACATTTCCCCTAATGTTGGAATCCTTGGTTCATCAATGCCACTATGTGTGCGTGTGTGTGTGTGTACGTGTGTGTACTTCTTGTTTTCATTGAAACTTAAAAATATCTGAAAATTGAAAGGTATCTTAAAGCAATCTGTTTAACTCCTCAACCAAGATTAGAATCCTATCTATAACAAGTCCTCTACAACACTAGCTTCTAGCATTACACAAAACTTCTGATTTTATTTCCTAGTAATCTAGTAAGCATCTGGAGGGTTAGGTACTTCGTTTTTCCTCATAGTGATTAGCATAGTTTTTTGTCCTTAGAAGAAACTAAAAATAGATTCATTGACTAAGTGGATCCAGTAAGTTAAAAACATGTAAATTTTCTTTTAAAAGAGATTGCAGTGGAGATTTACTTGCCCCAGATTAAAACAAAAAAGAAAACGAGTCTGTTCCCCCATTTCCTCTGCTTGCATAAGTCCACAAATGAGGATGATTTAAAGGAGAGTGAATACATTTGCAGCCTACTCTTTTCTGTATATGGTTCTGGATTAACATTGGTTTTTATTTTCCTACTTCTTAAAGATATATTTGGTATTATCACTAGATGTATGAATTTTAATGGAGTCTGTTGAATGCTGATCATGTTTTCCTATGGTAGTGTAAAAATCTTTAGTGAAGAATATTCCATTTGATTCACTTAAATGAAGGTAATTATGCTACAGTTTGAAATTTTATGGAAAGTTTTCAACCACATAAACTCTTTGTCATGGGCAGTTAGCAGACAGTTTAGAATTTGTGGTTTTTTGTTTTTGTTTTTTTTAATTACTAGTTTTTATTTCTGTGGGGTAAAGAAAAATAATAACTTTAATTACTTTGTATTTATTTGTATGTATGATATAATTTTATAAGCAAAGTGTATTTCCATAGCAAGGATGTTTGTATAAAGTTAGTGCTACCTTCAAGAATGGCAAATGCTCTAACTGTGTTGAGGATGCTTAAATATTTTATTATAGTTTTGACAAAAATACAGAAGTGATCTTTCCATATTATAAGAACTTTTTTCCCCTTTTAGAGCATGTCAAAAATAAACATAGTAATTTGAGTGCTCTATTTTTATTTTTAGAAACCAGCAAATATCCTAGTAATGGGAGAAGGTCCTGAAAGGGGGAGAGTCAAAATAGGTAGGTAATTATGCCTAAAGTCATTGTTTAAGAAACTGAAGTGACTGCAAAGATGGTTTTCCCTTTTAATGCTCTTATTCAAGTAACGGGTTTTAAAATTACATCCTCACAATATTTTTAGAAACGGTGTTGTGAAATGTAGAATAGTCTGTAACCTCCAGGACTATTCCAGAAATAAGATTCTATGATTCTAAGATGTGACATCACTGAGATTTGATAAGCAACTCCATAAAAAGTAATTATTCCCATGATATATTATTCCCAAACATGTGTTTACACTACTACCATTACCCACACAGCCACCCTAAACATATCCCCGGAATCCTGCGTTTGTCTCAGGTTTACCACGTGTTCCCTTCTTGAATCCATTGCTCCCACACTGAGCTTATACATGGATACCCGTACAGGCTCCCCTCCTTCTCACACTTTGAGCCTCTGTGTCATGTGCCAGGTGCTAACATGTCTTTTCCAAATGAATATATATGTGCACAGCCTTTCTGACTTGCCTATCTTAGTTTGAGGTACTGGCAGGAGTCTTGTCCGCAGATTAATGTTTCTTTCGCAACCCTGAGCATTCTAAAAGAAATCAGGACTGTTGATAGCTGTGGTAGGTTTGGGGAGAAACTGCACTAAGAAAGAAAGGCTGTTTCTCATTTCTCTTAACATTTATTGAATGTCCAGTGTTTTTAAAAAGAATTTTAAAATAAATTTGGTTTCATCAGCCTGGTTTCTTTGCTGTTGGAATACCATGCTAGTGGTGATACAGCACAGTGCTGACTTTACCTTCTAATGGAGTCCTGGTGTGGCGAAGCAAGGCTGGAAGTTCAGACCCACCAGCTGCTCCTTCAAAACCCTATACAGGCTTGCTGGGACCAACTCAACAGCACTTAACAAGAGCAACCTGCTACTAACGCAGGCTGTCTAACATCAACCAAGCATGCCCTGCTGCTTAGCTGACTACGTCTTCAATTCATTCTCTAACCAGGCCTCTGGAGAAGCTGCTCTAAACCAGCTTCTCTTTCTTTAAGTTTCTCCTCTGAGTTTGCTGAGACTTAGAAATTCATGAGAAAATGTGTTGATGTGAATTGTCACGAGATAGCAACTTTCCTTCTCTTGCCTCCTCCCTCCCCACTCAGTGTCCTACTTCTCACAGCATGTACCATCAGTGTTTTTGTGGGCTGGCTTCTTTCTGTTCCTCTCTCATACTCTTGGAGGCATTTATTGAGTACCTGCTTCTTTCCAGACCTAGTGAAAGGGAGGTAACAGATGGCTCCCCACCCCCACCTGCTTCCCTACCAGCAAGACAGTAAAATAAAGTTTGCTGTACATGCTTTCATTTGTTACCTCATTTATTTATGCAACCACCTTTTCTAGTGACCATTACAGACAAGAAATGTCAGATTCAGAGATGTTGTAGCTTGCTCAGCCTTTTAAAACTAGGACTTGGATTCCAAGACCAGAGTGTCTTTTCCAATACACATTGCTGCTTGATATAGCAAAGCCATCTGCTGTGACCTCCCTGACCTCCACTTTTCCTCAGCACAGCTCTGCCTTGGAAACAGAGCCAGGGAAGGAGTGACAAGCCCTGGTGGCACTGTGGGGCAGGCCTTGGTCTGCTAACCCAAAGTTCAGGGGCTTGAACCCAGCAGCCACCCTGAGGGAGAAAGATGAAGCTGCCGGCTCCTTCAATGATTTAGTCTCAGAAACCCTCGGAACCAGTTCTACTCTGTCCTTTAGGGTCACTCTGAGTGGGAATTGGCTGGATGGTAGTGGGTTTGGTTTGGATCTCTGTACTAGTGTCCTTGCTAGTTTCCAAATCTCTTCTTGCCTATACCTAATCCCCTCAGATTACAGTCTGTATTTTCCCGGTTTATGTTTCTCCTCTTTACCTTCAAGCATTCAGTCATCTTCTCAACCCAAAAAGAAATCTTTTTATATACATCTTATCTTCTTTAGCATTTGTTCTTTTTCTTCCTCTTGTTCTTTACTTCTGAGACACATGGTGTTCACACATTGGTTCCAATTTAGCCTAATCTGACCTCTAAATCCATCCCCGTATTGAAACTGCCCTCTAAAGGGCACTTGTGACCTCATTTCTCCCAAATCAGATGGCCTGCATTTAGTTACCATTGCCCTTTACTCCTTGAGTCCTTTGTTCTTTTGACCAGTCAATCTTGATGCTTGACTGTTTTCTCCCTTCGATGGCATTACATCATGTAATTCTACTTTCTACCTAACTTTCTTGCTCTTGTCTCTGCATTCTGTTAATTATTGGCTTTTACTTTTCATCTCTTGTTTTAAGACTCCCTAGATGCTGGCTTGACACATGGCCTCCTTCTACTATGGCTTCTTTAGGGAATTGATAAATTGTTATATTCTATGTAATTGGTTTTGAGATCTGAATCTCATATTCGATTCTCTTAATGCTGGCTGAATGAAATCCTGATCTCTATTTTGGATGAGCTACTGTTAACCCTAGGGAACTCTGTTAACAGAGAGGGTTACGAGTTGGGCTGTTAACCATAAGGTCAGCAGTTTGAATCACTAACTGCTCCACAGGAAATAGATGAGGCTTTCTGCTCCCATAAAGATTTACAGCCTTAAAAACCTTACACAAGTTCCCTGTGAGTTGTAACCACCACCACCACCACCACCATTACCCTGTACTCTGTGGTCCCAAAGAAAATGTATCATCTTCTCACTCTCCCTGTTTGTTTGCCCAGTCATTACATTTATCCTGTCACTCAAACCCAGGATCTTCCCATCACCAGCACCACTCCCATTACAGTGACACCACTCCGTTACTACTCAGCAAATATCCTGCACTCTAGCCAGGCCCCAGGAAGTTGCCTGACTTTTAAGAGTTTTATGTTTATAATTTAGTTCTGGTGTGTCTCTGTGGGTTAATGTGCTGGACTACAAAGTCAGTTTGAACTGCAAGGTCACTGGTTCAAACTCACCAGCAGCTCCTTGGAAACCCTATACAGGGTCGCTAGGAGTCAGAACTGACTCGATGGCACTTAACAACATATATGTTTATTAAACCATGTAGGAGACAGATCCTTCCCTTAAAGAACTTGGAGTCTAGTAGAAAATTTATGTTTATAGTTGTTGTTGTGAAGTGCCATCGAGTCGGTTCCGACCCATAGCAACCCTGTATAGGGTTTCCGAAGAACAGCTAGTGACCTTGAACCACCAACCTTGCAGTTCAAATGGCTTTGTAATCTTGTGCCTTTTCCCACAGCACCACATACTTACCCCTTTTTTATTTTCATGTATTTTGTCATAGTGCCTTCTTGTAAATTTCTTGGTGGTAGCCATTGTCTCTTGCCTCTTTCTTATTATATCATACTGGCTACTTACCACCTGAAAGAAGCCTGGGTGACGCTGTGGGGTAAGCATTGGCCTGCTAACTGCAAGGTCTGCATTTCAAACTGACCAGCTGCTCTGTGGGAGAAAGATGAGGCTGTGTGCTCCCATAAAGGTTTATAGCTTTGGAAACCCTATAGAGGAATTCAACTCTGTCCTATAGGGAGGGGCACTGTGAATTGGAATCAACTCACTGGCAATGGGTAACTGCCACCTATACCAGAAGTTTACTTGCCTTGTTCATTGAATGGGAATAGTTTTATCCACCTACATGTTATTGACAACATGTATTAGTACTAGTGCTATACCAGAAAACATTCATGTTTAGTTTTAGGAAAACATTTAGTATCATTTAGGCTACTTGTTTTCAGTATGAATTAGTAATGTTTTTTTTTTTTTTTTAATGTATGAAACTCCTTTAAAGTTATACAATAGATCGGAATTATTTTTAAGAGTATTTATTGTTTCCTGTTGGCCTTGATTTTATCTGATAGTGAATAAGTGGGACTTAGATCAATTTAAGCAAGTAGAGAATAAGAGGAGAAAATACAGTCTTGAGACTTATTTCAAAAACAAAGTGCTTTTCAATGAATGAAACAGCATTAGACTTTTACTTTGCCATCAACAACAATCAGCGTCTTTTAACTATCTCAGGCAGTGCTTTGAATTGAGTGCAGTGTTGGTGGAATGGTCTTGACTATCTTGGCTTAGTATAGGGGAATTTAGTTAAGAAACAGCCTTACTTTTAATTTTTAAGACCAGGGTTTTCTAAAGCATTCTCAGAAAGTAAATGATTTGAACTCTAAAGAAACAAAATCTATAAATTAAAATGTTAGTATGTATGGGCATAGGAGGAAGAGTAGGAACATATCCACAAATTTATGAGTTTGAAAGAGAATATTTGTTCCTGGGTATTTCCATTTCCTGCAAACATGGAATGTGGTGGAGCATATAGTGGGCAAAATGATGAAACTTCTTAGATAGTTTCAAACACATTAGGTGATAAGTTGCTGGGTCTGGGGGCTCAGGACCCTATCTCAGAGGACAGCATGGCCAATTGGCTTAACATAGTCCCCAAAGACAATGTTCTATATCTTACTTTGATGAGTAGTGTCTGGGATCTTAAAAACTCATGGGCACCCATTTAAAGTGTAGCTATTGGTCTCTCCATGTGTGGAAGAAAGAAGAGTGATGGGAACTGAAGATGCTTGGAATCAATTAGGCCAGTAGCCTAATGGAACATGTGAACATCAGTCTCTATGACTCAGACCAGAAGAACTAGATAGGGCCTGGCTACCACTACCACATTAGAGGGTCCTGGAGAGAGTAGGAGAGAATGTGGAACAAAACTTAAAATTATTTAATCAAAAGGAAAAAAAGGCTGGGCGTACTTAGAAAGAGACTGATGGAATCCTAGACTATGGCCCTCAACACCCTTCAGGTCTGAAAAGGAATTCATACTTGTAGCACAATTTTCAGCCAAGCAGTAGATTGGTATATGTTGTTGTTGTTAAGTACTGTGGAGTAGGTTCCAACTCATAGTGACCCTGCACAGGGTTTCTGAGGCTACAAATCTTTACGGGAGCAGAAAGCCTCATCTTTCTCCTGCAGAACAGCTGGTAGTTTCAAACTGCCGACCTTGTGGTTAGCAGCCCGATTTATAACCACTACACTACCAGAGCTCCTTGATTGGTATGTTTTGTTGTTGTTAGGTGCCGTCGAGTTGGCACCGACTCATAGCGACCTTATGCACAGTAGAATGAAACAATGTCCGATCCTGGGCCAGCCTCACTATTGTTGTCACACTTGAGTCCATCGATGCTGCCACCTGGCCAAGCCATCTCATTGGGGGGTCTTCCTCTTTTTCTCTGACCCTCCATCTTACCAAACACAATATCCTTTGTGTATATAGGTATATAGGGGGGACAAAAACACAAGTATGATATGCTCACCATGGAATGGTCAGTCATTAAAAATCAAAAGGGCAACATTTACCTAAGAACAAAGTTGAGATGGGAAGGGAAGGTGGGTGAAATCTAAATAGGAACACAGTAAGGAAGCGGGATAACTGTTGTTGCTTGGAGGGGCTTGTAATTATTGAGATGAAACAAAGTGAGTTGTATAGTGTGAAGCTGATGATCTTGTCTGTAAATCTTCACTCATTTCACAATAAAAGTTGAATAAATAAAATAAAATGTTACTGTATATTTTTCATAATGGTTTAAGATTAAATGCTACTCCATAGTTGAAACTGTTATATGCTATTTGTGCACTTTATCGTACAGTACCTCGGGCCCCTTATACAGTCAAAATATACTGTATATATCTATATATTTCAAATTATGGAGATTTATGGTATGGTAGTGTAATGGTTACGAATCGGGCTGTGAACCTCAGGGTCAGCAGTTTGAAACTACCAGCTGTTCCACGGGGAAAAGATGAGGCTTTCTACTCCCGTAAAGATTTATAGCCTCGGAACCCTGTACAGGGTCACTGTGAGTCAGAACCAACTCCATGGCACATAGCAACAACATGGTATTTTCAATAACCCTCATATGCATGTAAAAGCTGGACGGTGAATAAGGAAGACCGTAGAAGAATTGATGCTTTTGAGTTATGGTGTTGGAGGAGAATATTGAAAGTGCCATGGGCTGCCAAAAGAACCAATAGATTGGTTTTGGAGGAAGTGCAGCCAGAGTGCTCCTTGGAGGCCAAGATGGCCAAACTTCGTCTATCATACTTCGGACATATTGTCAGGAGGACCAGTCGCTGGAGAAGGATATCATGTTTGGTAAGGTGGATGGACAGAGAAAGAGAGGAAGACCCCCAACAAGATGGATTGACCAAGTGGCAGCATCGATGGACTCAAGCGTGGTAACAATAGTGAGGTTGGCCCAGTGTTATGTTCTGCTGTGCATAAGGTTGCTATGAGTCGGTACCGACTCCATGGCACCTAACAACAATAACATCATTCTTGTGGAGTCCTGGTGTAGCACTGTGGATTAATGCACTGGATTGCCAAATTACTTTGAACCCTAAGGTTGATTCAAGCTCACCAGCTGCTCCTCAGATACTCGATGCAGGGTAGCTGTTAGTCAGAACCAACTCATTGGCACTTAACAACAACATCATCATCATTCTTATGGACTCCTGGTTTGGCGCTGTAGTATCAGCACTGGACTGCAAACCACAAGGTCGGCAGTTCAAACCCACCAACTGCTCCTCAAACCCACCAGGTACAGTTCAAACCCTCCAGGCACTGTGAGTTAATGAACTGGACTGCAAAGTGGGTTTGCACTACAAGATCGGTGGTTCAAACTCACCAGCTGCTCCTCGGAAACCCTATACAGGGTTGCTATGGGTTGGAACCGACTTGACGGTACTTAACAACAACAAAAAAGTGTTTAAATCAGATAGCTTTGGTGTTGGTAGTGGTGTTAAATGCTATCAAGTTGATTCTGACTCATAACGATCCTGTATAGGGTTCCTGAGGCTTTAAATCTTTGCCGGTAAAGAAAGTCTCATCTTTCTACCACAGAGTGACTGGCGAACTCGAACCGCAGACTTTTGGCTCACAGTCCAGTGCTTATCATATAGAGCCATCACACTCCTTAGCTTTGGCATTGGCCTTTGTTAAAAGCTGAATGACAACATTTTATATGCTCTATACTTGGTATGGTGATGTAGGTTAAGTACTGGACTGCTAAATGCAAGGTTGGCAGTTCAAACCCACCAGCCACTCCTCGGAGACCCTGTAAGGGCGGCTGTAAGTCAGAACGGACTCAGTGGTACTTAACAACAACGTACCATGTTATTGGAAACGTATTACTACCAGTGATATTTTGGTAAATGTTCAACAATGATTTCTCTATGAGAAAAAGCTCCAAATTCTATCATTTTCTGTGACGTAAATACTCTGTCCATTGCCATTCTCAAGCCACCTGCATGTGCCACTGAGTGCAAAGTAGGGAAGAGACGTGTACAGTTGGTTCTGTGGGCTAATAGGAACCGACTCGGCACACATGAAAATAAGGTCTAGTCACTCTTAAGATGAGTTGGCTTAGCCACCCACCCACTGCCATCGAGTTCATTCTGACTCAGCGCGACCCTGGATTAGAGTTCTGAGGCCATAAATCTTCACAGGAGCAGAAAGCCTCATCTTTGTCCCTCAGAGTGAATGATGGGTTTGAACTACTGACATGTGGTTAGCACACTATTGCTTACCCTACAGCACCACCAGGGCCGCTTTGTATGCGTTGTTGTTGTTGTTGTTAAGTGCCGTCAAGTTGGGCATACAGAAGTTATAATTAGTCATGGAAACTTTCAGACTATTTTAGATTTTAGAGACTTTTAGGAATATTATTTTAGCTAAAATAATAATATTCTCTAAAGCTAGGAATCTGAAGTCAGACCTGGATTCTAATTCTAATCTGTATCTACTAACCTCATGACCTTGGGTAAGTCATAGTATCTACCTCAGAGGTGGGGGTTGTGGTAGAATGTTAAGTTCCGTCAAGTCAATTCCTACTCATAGCAACTTTGTACGGGGCTCTGAGGAGCAGCTGGTGGGTTTGAACTGCCAACCTTTTGGTGTGCAGTCCAGTACTTATCCTACCAAGATAAATGAAGTAATTCCTGTGTGGTGCCCTGTGCAGACTGGTTTAAAGGGGAGGAAAAGGGCTGCAATAAGGTTGGTGATTGTTGTTGTCAATCTTACATAGTTTAATAGCATATTAAGTTTACTTTTACTTTTATTTTTTAGCTGACATGGGTTTTGCCAGATTGTTCAATTCTCCTCTAAAGCCACTAGCAGATTTGGATCCAGTAGTGGTGACATTTTGGTATCGGGCTCCAGAACTTTTGCTTGGTGCAAGGCATTATACAAAAGCCATTGGTAAGTTAAACCAAAGTTATTTATTATCCTTGTATTGTACTGTTATAAGTGACAAATTGTATAATAATAAAGCTACTTGGTGACAAGCACCTTAAAGCTCTTTATAAAAGTCTTACTGTCTCCTATATCTCTGGATTTTACAGTCTGGTAGATTTGGATTGGTAACTCTATAGGAGAATGTAGTTCTTTTAAAAGAAGAAAACTTATTCAAGAACACAAGGGGGCTTCAAAATGTTCATGAAAAAAATGGAATAATGGAATTATTCCATGAACTTTTTTAGAGCTAGCTGATCCTGTTGAGTTGCTATGGGTAAGATAATGTACACATTTCATGTTGTACTTATCTAGCTGCTGATAAAAGAGCTGCAGAGAGGATCAAAATGGTTTTCTTCACAAACAGGCAAGACTAGTGCAATGTGTTGAAGAGAGCCCCTTCTATTTGGTGAAAAGGTAGTCAGCCACATCCTTTCCTAAACAAGATACAATATAGTTCATCTTTTTTTCTTGCCATTGCATTGATTAGAAGTGTAGTTTCTACATTATGGTAGAAATAGATGGCGTCTCAGAAGACTAGTATTGCTCACCATATTGCCATCTAACCTAGTTTTAAGAATAAAGAAAGCATGTTTTATACATACTTTCTGTAGGCTTTAAAGACTCCTTCAGGACACAGGTTCAGAAATTTTGCTACCTGGTCACTACAGTGTCCTCAGACAGCCTAGCTGTGAATTTTGGGAGTCATGAGGAGAGTTGTTGTTGTTGTTGAGTACTGTTGAATCAGTTCCGACCCATAGCGACCCTTTATAGGGTTTCCAAAGAGCAACTGATGAGCTTGAATTGCTGACCTTTGCGGTTCAAGCTGACTTTGCAGTCCAGCATATTAACCCACAGCACCACACCAGGAGAGAGCTATCCTCAAACCCAGAGATTTTCTACCCCTTTCATGACCTGATTTTTTTCCCTTGTGATTAAGGAATCATTAAAAATAGACAAGTAAGCAGGATCCTTTCTTTGTTAAATTAGCCTATGGAAACCTGGTGGCATGACATTTTGAAAGAGTTAACTGATAATTAGCTTGGCCATGGGTGAAGAAGGCTAACAAGAATTTAAATATAGTGATGTCCTCATTAATCAGTAGGTAGGTCTGAGTTCTGCAAACTCAGACCCTCACTATGCACTTAATAATGCTCTGGCCAGATTCGGGCACTTGACACATGTAGTAAGTACTTCATAAATATTGTGGAATGGTTTTGTTATCTTGGTGAAAAAGCCTCTGAGTAATCTCAGCTGGGTGAGAAAAACCAGTGCGTGCTTGATAGTAGAGGAATGAGAGACTGACCTTAGACCCTGCCCGTAGCTGTGGAGCCCATGGGAAGGCAGCAGATAAGAGCCTGCCAGAATACCCTACCACAAGGGACAGTGGCCTACCCCTCTCTGGAGGGTGAAGGAAGAACTACAGAAAGCAAACGGAGTGACTGTCCCTAAGATGAGGAGGAGCAAAAACCAGAACTTAATGTTTACATCCCAACGAGTAACTTTTTTATTGAGGGGATGCAGTTTTGAGATTTTCAGGACTATGAATTTACATTTTCTGTTATGTGTGTTCTCTTAACTCATTATTGAAAATGGTAAAATAAATCTCGTAGTCAATCTTAGAGGTATCTGTCATAGGATAGGAAGAGACTGAATGTAAGTCAGGGAAGGAGGACTGGAGACCAGCCAGTGGTCACTGGTGCCATACCCCAGGGAAGGACGTGAGAATGAGTGGATGAAATGACACTAGAGATCCATTTACCTTGGGCTCTCACCAAACACTTAAACAAAAAGAGACGGTAAATCTTTATGGGAGTAGACAGCCTCAACTTTATGCCTCGGAGCCACTGGTGATTTTGAGCCACTGACCTTGTGGTTAGCTATCCAGGACTTATCTTACAGCACTACCAAAAAGAGAGAGCTATAAAGAAAAGTAAATTCAGCCACAACTTTCTGTTGAACTAAATGACTCCCCACCAAAGTTTGTCTGACACCCAAAGATTCTTATACAGTAAGTTCATGGCAAGACCTATTTTTAAGTAGGTACCCTTAGATAATTCTGTTGTGTGTGGTCCTAGAGCCCAGACTTTGAGGACTAAAGTTTCATGAGTATTTTCTGATGAACGGCTCTAGTGCTGAAATCAAAGTAGATATTTTTTATGGAGGCAGGAAATAAAGGTTATGGGTATGAATTGAAAGCCAGCTGTATTTATTTTTTCAGGGCAAGGAGAACCAAAACGGAATTTAACCAGCTTACACTTACTTGCTCAGTAAATGAGATTTACATTCAAAGATAAAAGCATAATCACTAATTTCTAATTTTAGTCAAATCACAATTATCCATGCTACACAGAAGTTAGGAGTTAAAAAGAAAACACAGGGAAAAAAAATAGCCCCCAAATCAGTTATCTTTGGATTGAAATGTATTTATAGCAGACACATAGGTGTATACACATCCACTCATTGTCTCTCTTCTCCATGCCTAGTCTATGTCAGCAATGAGTGTTATTTCTATTTAAAGGATAGAAAAAATATAGTTTGTGGAGTGACATTTAAGGAGGAATATGTATGTGCGTGTATGTGTACGCACATAAACACATACTAAGAAAAGTCATTAGTAAAATAAAGAGACCGAAGCATCTTGGTGTGGCTCTGTAGGATAAACACTGGACTGCTAACCTTAAGGTTGGCAGTTCACATCCACCAGCCTCTCCTCAGGGTAGCTATGAGTTGGAACTGACTTGACGACACTTAACAACAACAACAGCCATGAAGCAGGAAGCCACATAATTTAATGCTATCTACTACCCTGAGATTCCTTCTCTTAGCAGTCCACAGGGCAATCTAGATCCTGACGCCTGCCCTTTGACTAGAGGACAAATTGGAAATCAGCACAATGGGGCAGCATATCAGAGTCCACTGTAGTCCCAGTTGACTGCAGAGTAGAGGCAGCCAGCAGTAAGATGGATGAGACTGTCAGAGGCAGCACAGCAGGGACGAGAGTGACAGCCAACATGATGTGGAGAAGAATTAAACAGTAGACACTGAACAGTATTAGTGCCCTATTCTCTAGTGAGGAAGGTCATCGGCATAGTGTTGCATCATTAACAGTGATTAAGTTATGTTGTATCACCTTTTAAGATGGCAGGGAATGGTGTAATAAAAATGGTTATCAAGAGACTAGGTTCCCATTATCCAGAAGGCTGACTGATGTGGAAAGGAACCATTCCTGAATGAGGTCAGCTAAATGAGACTTTAGAATATGTTTTGTTTCATTTGACACTGTGATTTAAAAAATAGAATGCTGACACTAATTAAACCTGCTTAGAGAGCAGCTGGTGAGTTTGAACCACTGACCTTGCAGTTTAACCCAATCTTGCAGTCCAGTGCTTATCCTTATTTCTTATTAACTCAGCTACAGAATGTGATCCCCACATTTGATAGGCTACTGAATTCCATATTCTTACCACTCCTGCTGTGGCACTGTAGGATCAGCACTGGACTGCAAACCACAAGGTCAGCAGTTCAAACCCACCCACTGCTCCTCTATAGGGTTGCTATGGCACTTAACAACAATAAAAAAGTACTTTAAAAAAATGCTGTTTTGGTAATTTTTTAAGTGGACGAATATGATCTCATAAACATTCTTTGACTTATACACTGGGCAGTGCACTGTATGCAGTATTGTAGTCTCAGAATATGAACTGCAGTCTTTCAATGTGCAAAATGCAAATAGAAAAATCTATAACTGGTGACTTGAAATAGTTTAATAAAGCTTTCAAAGATTCCTAACTTTACCCTATGTTCACATAAGATCAGTCTCTATTGGTTTCATGCATATTCTTGTAGTATTGTTTCCTCATACCAGTGCTGTGTTAGATTGTCAACTGAATGCTTTAATGATTAAATTGTTAATTAGGTTAGGAAGACTTTTGCCTTGTTGTTATTGTTATGTGCCGTGGAGTTGATTCCGACTCATAACATTCATAACGACCCTGTACACGGTTGCCGAGGCTGTTAATCTTTATGGGAGCAGAAAGCCTCATCTGTCTCCCACAGAACAGCTGGTAGTTTCGAACTGCTGACCGTGAGATTAGCAGCCCTATTCATAACCACTACACTAAGGAATTTATTGCTTGCCAATTGGAATTACTCAAGCTTATCTTCATCAGGAAATTTACAAAACGTTTTTGAATGTTTTCAATCTGATAGATACATGTTTTTATGTGTATAAAAATATATAAACTTTTTTTTCTTACTACATTAATTGTACTTTGTACATGTCTTCACTGAAAAATATTCTTATATGTAGGTTGTGATTATAACCAGAAATTATAACCAATAAGATAATAAGGAGCTCTGGTAGCGTAGTGGTTATGAATCGGGCTGCAAACCTTAAGGTCAGCGGTTCGAACCTACCAGCCGCTCCGCGGGAGAAAGATGAGGCTTTCTACTCCCGTAAAAGATTTACACCCTCGGAAACCCTGTACAGGGTCACTATGGGTCAGAACCGACTCGATGTCACTTAACAACAACAACAACAACAACAACAAGATAATAATAAATGTGTATAAAGACTTGTTTTCTTCTTTCATAGATATATGGGCAATAGGTTGCATATTTGCTGAATTGTTAACTTCAGAACCTATTTTTCACTGTCGTCAGGAAGATATAAAAACAAGTAATCCCTTTCATCACGATCAACTAGATCGAATATTTAGTGTCATGGGATTTCCTGCAGGTAATTTACTTTCCTTTTAAAAATCAAGCATGTTTTAAGTGTATTTTGTATATTTAAAAACAAGCAATTAGATTTTTATAAGTGTAACAACATACTTTCTGTAATACTGTTCTATATTTTTTATAAGATAAAGATTGGGAAGATATTAGAAAGATGCCAGAATACCCTACTCTTCAAAAAGACTTTAGAAGAACAACGTAAGTAATTACAAGTGAATATATAGGTTTTGATACTTCAATGGGATCATTTGAATGAGATCTTTTAAAAAGTCAAATTTAGATTACTTAATTAAAGCCAGAAACTTACAATGTGTACAGTGATTTATGCTTATGATTGAAAGAAGACATTTAAGATACTTCTTTAACATATGCTAATATACCAAATCAAACCTACTGCCATGGAGTCGATTTTGACTCTTAACAATCCTGTATAGGGTTTCCAAAGCTGTAAATCTTTACAGGCGCAGAAAGCATTATCTTTCTCTTGTCGAGTGGCTGGTGGGTTTGAACTGCCAACCTTGTGGTTAGCAGTTCAGTGCTTATCCTACCATGCCACCAGAGCTCTTATGTTAACAATCAATTAACGTATATTCCAGGGTTAGAGCGTAGTATTTATTTATTTTTAATGTGGTATCTTTTAAACATCTGTCCTGTCTTGGCGTAACAAAAGTTAAGCTGTGTTCAAGGTTACAGCTGTGATTTTATCTGTATCTGAGTCATAACTGGTGTCTGAAATGCTGGACTAGGAAGAAACCAGGAGGGATGGCAGAAGGGTCTGAGACAAACAAGATGGCAGAGACGTGACTAGAAATGAGAGGAGTAAAGATGGTGACTTAATGAGCATTAGTTAGAGACATGTACATCTAGTGAAATTATGGTAGCCACTTCCTTTGGGCAACTTAACAGAATTTCATGATAGGATGATGTGTTGAAACAAAACCAGACATCATAAAGAAAAGTGAGGAATGCTACTGACTATTTCTGGCCCCGCTTTCACACTGTCCTCCATAGAGTCATTTGCCTCTGTCCATGTTAAAGATAGCACTAGTACTACTCACGGTCTTGGGCTCTCTTTTCTTTCTACACATTGTCCCAGTGAGTCTACTCAATTTTGATTGTCACAGTGTGCCATCAATTATTCTGATACGATTGGTATATCCGGCTCAGATCTTTCTCAAGTTTCAGATTCATTTATCTAATTGCCTCAGGGAATTCCAACTCAATTGTTTCTTATATGATTCAAGCTAAACATACAAAACTAAACTCATTTATCCCCTTAAACCTCTCCTGTTCTATTTTCTATCTCAGGAAACAGCCATATGATTTGCCTAATTGCTTAAGCCAAAGACCTAGGAGCTATTCCCAATCCTCTTCTATTTCACAGTCTTCCATCTGTCCCACCAACATCCAAACCTAGTTATTTCTCTTTTCTAAATACCGTTTGAATCTTGATATTACTTTCCATCTACCTTGCCATTACTGTAGTCTAGATCACCACCATCTCTCACCTAAATCCTGCATGGCCTCCTACTTGGTCTTTCTACCTCTACTCAACATACCAATTCACTGTTTACTGCAATCAATCTCAGATGTAAATTTGATTATGTCACTTACCTAGTTACTCTTACATTTTTTCTCGGTTCCTTAATGTGACTCGTGAAGTTTTTGCTTCTGTGTCTCCAGTTTCATGGCTTCGCCACACACTACTTTGTATTCTTATAGCCCAGGCATGTGAATTCCATTTAAGTACCTCAGATACCCTGAGTTTTCTCTGACCTCTGAGTTTTTACTACATCTAGGATGTACTTTTCTCCCATTTCCTTCACCAAGTTGATTCCTGTTTATTCTTTGTATTAATGCTTTAGACCTTGGCTTGGGCTTCACTTCTGTGACAAGACCTCACCTGACCTTCCTGGTCTGAAGAGTGTCCCCACTCCTTGCTTCCCATGCACTCCTGTTACATCCTGTGCTGCTGCTTCTGTCAGCTGCACTGGTTAGTTTTTAAATATTTATTTATCTTTCCCTCTAGGTAGTATAGGTCATGTGTATCAAAGACACCATTGTAACCCCGGGGCACTAGTACATGCTTAGTAATTACTTGTCAAGTGGGTATTGAGTAAAAGTGGTACAAGTAATTGAAGATACTCTAATATTACAAAAGTTGGGGAAAATTAATGAAGGCACTTCACATTTAACTTAGTATTTAAAGACCAAATGGAAAATTTTACCCACAAGATTATAAGATTGGAGTTGTTTTTAAGTGCTGTTAAATCGATTCTGACTCATA